CGGGAGGCGCTGCCCGCCCCCCCGGGGCGCCCGGCGGCGGAGGTGAAGCCGGTCAGCCTAACCGGCCCGCGTTTTCCCAGAGCCGTTGGAAGTCCTCCTTGGTTTAAACCTTTTCAGAAGGCTGATCGTCGTATCGAGAACCGCGTTTTAAAGAACGGAGGCAGAGAGACAAGAGTACAGTGAAACGCTGAGGTTTTTTTTCAGCCTGGTGGAGGCAGTGGGCGGCCAAAGAGCTCGCTCTCAGCTGGGAAATTTTCTCCTCATTAGAGTGTCAGAAATCATTGCAGGGGGTCAGGGTTTCACCCTCGGTGTCTAAAGCATCATTAGTTATCTTGAAAAGTGCGGGACAGAGTGGAGCAATGCTTACCTTTGCAGTCATGGCAGAGAGTTGTGACTGGGGCAGAGCTTCAGGGGGCTCAGAAAGCTGATGTAACCTTGCAGCAGAGTTAGGGGGAAGGAAGGATGTATTTTTTGCTCTCCTGTGCCACTGATTTTATTTCTACACGCTTCCTTCTTCTTTTAAGGGCTTCCCACCGTGTCTTCTAACTCTTATGTACAGAGCCAGTCTTGACATTTTGTGGCAGATCTGCAAAAAGTGGCTTGCCGCTTTCTCCAGATGTAGCTGATGCCTTGCCAGCATTATGATAGGACGGCATGCAGGTCCTTTCTAAGGCAAGCAGTACGGAGATCCCTGGGAGACACCAGGGTGGGCTCAGTCTCACGGGTGGGTGTGCATGCGCGCACATGTGCTTGGGGGCAAGCTTAAGCCTGCACTGCTCACTGCATGAACTGAAGCCAGCTGCATGCGCCTTTCAGGTTTCGCAGTCCGCTTTTATCAGTTTGTTTTCAAGTCTGCCTTTCCAAGGAAAGGAACTAAGAGATTATTCTTCAAAAAATTAAATCTGAAATTCTTGTGGATTTTTTTCTCCTTCCTTCCAAGCAAGCAATTATCTTTGTCGGATCTAAAAGCTGTCTCTGCCTGAAACTCTGTTGAAGATGTAGAAAGAGTTTTCATAACCCCATTGTTCTTCTCTGGCCACTTTTGCTAATAAGTGAATAATTTACCCTAAAGGGTGGATTCTGTCGTGTAAAGTGTCTACATGCTGGTCAGTGGAGGTATCTCAAGAAAGGATTTGATAGACGCAAGTGGATCCTTCAGCAGCATGTATGTGCTTTATGGGAGCTCAACTGCCAAAACAATCTGAACATTCATTTAAATACGCAAATTTCAAAATGTTCAATAAGAATTTTCCATAAATGTGGAAAATAGACATTGACAGAAGTGTGCTAGTGTTTAATTATTACCTTTAAAATATTTTTCCTGTATTTTTAAGTGTTTGACTTCATCTGAGATTAATTTGTCTCATCAGGATTCATATAAAATATGCCAGTAGAGCTAGAAGTACTGAACAGAGCGTATATCTCTATTTTCTGCTAACAGAGACTTAAGTGCTATATTCCGGTGTTCTGGCTGAGGAGACACAGCTGTATTTTATGAATGGTTATTACCTGCAAAATGCTGTTGTACAGAGTAGTGAGTTACATTGCAGTCTCTCGCTTGGGCAGTCCCTTTGCTCTCTGTGGACCGAACACGATGAAGCAGCCAGCCTTTCCCCTCCGCCCTCTGGATCACTGGTCGCAGCGGGAGCTGCGGTTGTCCTGGAGAGCTTGTAGATCTGAACTGAATGAAGGGCATGCAGTTTGACCAGATCCCTCTCAGATATGCATTTCTTAGTTGTTTGACAACAATATTACAAGTGCCTGCAAATCAAGGGCCTGGTTCGTCTTTTGTAGTGTCCTGAAAACTCCCAGTAGAGTCACAGGATTCTTGGACCCAAAAGCAGTGTAGACTTAAGCTATTAAAAACAGACTGTAGATCTATGTGTCAACAGTTTTATGAGAGGAAAGGAAAAGATCTCTTCATTAATCTTTTTTGGAAATGACATTAATGTCCAAGTTAATGGCAGCTCCAGAACAAGCCATG